GTGATATAAGTTTGCATATTATAGAATACTGCATGATGACCTTTTTATGACTTAGACTGTTGTTGGAATCAAGACAAGGCTTTATAAATTCTTTCTCACAGAGATAATAGCTGACCAAGCTGTTATTATCTCACTCCTGCCAGGAAGAGGAGAGCTGGATACTTTTATCTTCAAGAAGAGGGGCCACGTCCTTCAGAATCACACACACACATACACACACCTGAACCACTCTTATCTTCACTCCCTACATACTAACATTCCTCTGTTAATGAATAGACGTATTCACTGATGTATTACTTTTGTATATAAATAAAGGCAAGTGCAGGAACAGAGCGCACATCACAGGGCCCCCACTCTGGTGTGTGCGTTCTGTGATCGCCCTTGCAAGTAAAAGCTGCAGCGTCTGTGTGTTTCTACCTTTAGATTCTTAGCTGAAGAAGTGTCTTTAGAATAAATCTCTTGACACAATGCTTCAAAAAAATGTAACTGTACCTCAAACATGGATATCAAGTAACAGTAATCATTGTTTTTAGTAAGATGACTTATTATGTTCTTTACGGACATCCAGTAGATGCCTTTGCATCCAGTGGAATTATTAAGATGCGAACACAATTTAATTAACAGAGTTGTTTCAAATAGTCAGTCTTAAATAAGAAGATAGAAATATAAATACATACCTCACAGTAACTGCACTTGTAGAGTTTCTTTCTGGTGTGGATCTCTTGGTGTTTTTCCAGGTGACGTGGGGCTTTAAAAGTCTTATCACACAGGTCACATTTATAAAATCTCTCGTCATTGTGGGTAAACATGTGGCGTTGTAACTGTGCATCTGTTGTAAACAGTTTTCCACACTGAACACAGCAGCAAACCTCATGTCCAGTGTGAATCCGTTGGTGAATATTTCGGCTCCCTAGCCGACTGAAAGTTTCTCCACAAATGTCACAGCTGTACGCTTTAATTCCAGAGTGGGTAACTTGATGACGTTTTAAGGTGCAACTGAGAGCAAAAGATTTACCACACTGATCACAGCTGTATGCTTTAACTCCACTGTGGATGAGTTGGTGTGTTTTTAAGTGTCCA